AAACATCTATTCTTAAAAATAGATTCAAAGGGAACTGGAAAAATATCTCAATGGTTAAGAACACTTGATGCTCTTGCAGAGGACCCAAGGTAAGTTCCTACCATTCACACCCAGCTCCAGGGATTCCAAAAGCCTGCACTGGCCACTGCATTCATGTGCATATTCCCACACATAAATAAAATAAACCTTTCCTAGTACTCTGGAGGCAGAGGCTGGCACATCTCTGTGAGTTTGGGGCCAGCCTGGACAATCTAGTAGCAACAAATCAACCAAGGCTACATAGCAAGACCCTGCCTCAAAATAAACAAATATGTCTTCGAAAAAATGGCTTCAGAGTATTCAATATTTCAAAATCAAAAACAAAACTGAGCATGCAAAAATGAACAACTAAAAATTTCAAACTTTTACCAAACTTCAAGGATGTCATCAATATGCTCATTTAACTCAGGGTAACTTTTTAATCTAATATGAAATTGTACTCTAAAATAGCATACCTTTAAGATTTTTATTTCCTTTCCAAGCAGAATTTGTGATTTTGACAAGTTCTTTTTATTAATACTTTTAATAGCTACCTCCCAATCAGTTTTCTGAAAAGGAAAAACAGTGTTATGCCTGAAAATTGTAATATATAAACGACTCAAAAACAAAAACTTGTTAAGTGTAAATATATTTTTAGCAAATTAGTGTACATACAGTACTGGGGAAGCATGCATGATAAAAATCACATATCTCAAACCAAAAAACGATTTGATAAATTACACAATACCAAGGCAATGTCCTACAACACAGCCACTAAAAGTAGTAAATACAGAAAAGCATTAGTTGAAAAAAAGTTTACAACCACATAGGAGTTATGGAGAAATGTGTATATAAACTTGGGAAGTGACAGAATTCAATGAAAAGTTAGCCTGGCTGGATTACACTTCTTTTTTCTTGAACTTTAACTTACTTCATAATGAATGAGAAATAGACGACAGTACGCTTTTAATAGGCCCTTTGGCAACAATCAAAACAACCAAGGTCTTTAAAAAAAATTATTTCCACTCCCGATGTGCGTTCTCAAATTCTTTAGATTCTAAAACCTCGTGTGACCCTACTTTCGAAACAGCGGCTTGGGGGAGGGGGGGAATTGAGGCTTGAACTTGCAACCACGTTGTATTACCACATTAGGTTCACTATCTTTCTCGCTTGGAGTTCGTCTAACTCAAGAAGGGGAGACACAGTACAGGGCATACAGGACACAGAGGAAAGCGATACCTCCTAGTCCGAGAAAGCCTCAGGCTAACAGGAAACTTGCCCATTTTCCGCTG